TTGAAAGTTCAAATAGTGCCGTTTTTCCTGAACAACCAAACCGTTCTGTGTGCTCAACTAGGTTTGCTATGAAAGGAAGGAGACGCGTCGCGTGATGACGTCACGCGCTGATGGCTCGCCAACCGAACGACGAACCCTCGATCTGCCATATTCCTTTCTTCACACTTTGATCCCAGTATTTGAGCTTCCGTCTCAACGATAACCAGATGGATGCAATTTCTAGGTCAAGGTCACCTTCGTAGCCAACATATATGCTACGCCAATTTACGCGGATCACCTGCCTACCTTCGCGTATGGAATCACCAAATCTTGTACCACATACCAGCGGATCTCAAGGCGCAAGATGCTCTCCAAGGCAAAACTTCGGGTTTACCAATCGCCAATCAAACTTCGTTGCCTCTCTCGTATCGAGAACAGTCTGTTGGACCGGCCCTTAACAGCGAGACCCCATGAACTTTTCTAGTATATCTCGACTCCATCGGAGCAACACACCGAAACCATTTCGTCGCGTCGTTGGAGATTCTATTGGCATTGCCACTCTGCCAAGGAGCCCTCGAAAGTAGCTATAACGAGGTGGCGCATATATCCATGGACTTTACGCTGCAATCGCAGACCAACGACAAACACGTCCGGTGAACATCGGCAGGCTGTCGGATAGGATCCCGCCAATAATTGTGTCTTCAGCACTCATGGTACAGGACGGAGCCTATGACACTCACAAGGCGCTGTACCGGATATGTGGGCCATGGGCTGATACGAGTTATGCGGCGTACGATCTTGCTGGTGTCAGGAGCATGTCCCAGTTCTACAGATTGCGCAATTGTCCTCAACATCCATCCTGCTGTCACAGCGGGCACTTAGCAACCGGAAGATCTCCAAACGCAGTCCATCACCTGGAGAACATTGACTCTTCTTTTCACCGGTAACCTGGAGTGGGATACTATTTCTTTCTGGAATCGGCTAGGTGCAGACTTAGGTAGGGCTTAGACAGATGAAGCTTGTGTCAGCGCTATTCGGTATCCTTGAATCTTCGTACTACAACCTGCGCCTTGTCTTATATCCGGTCTTACACGAAGACCAATCACGATGCCTCTAGCTTGTCACGATGTCCTTATCTGGTTCGCGCATTGTGTACAGCCAAGCTGATCTAAAAATCATCGCTTACAAGTGCAGCCCCGCGGATGTAGAGTAAGCAACTGAGCCTCAGACTTCGATAATATAAGACCACGCTTCGCTCACGTTCGCAGGTCTCGATCCGCATGGAAACCGCTACTGAGTTCGAGATCGCGGCTCAGTCAGTGGTGTTACTATAGGGTCTTCCTGCGTTACCACTGCTAATGCTCTTAGCTGCAAACTTGGCTCAAATCGTGGTTGTGCAGGTGTGCTGACTGGTAGTGAACGGCCGCGAGACCTCAACCTTTGGCTCTTTCCAACTACCAAGCTCACCACATCTTTGACGCGACATTAAACGAGACCGATCACGCAGCATCCGATTGCAAGATCCGAACATAGCGGGCTTCTCCTTTGTGAACAGAACGCATGGCCCAGACCACGCCTGGCTTCAATATCACCCACACACCAGAAGCCTTCCAATGGCTAGAATGCTATAAAACTTTGCAATGTACTTCCATAGTCTTTCCTATAGCACCTCATAGACGACCCTCAGCGAAACGCGTTGTTTACCTGGCACTTGATAACAGATGGACGACACAACGACCCAGAATCCATCATCCCCCTCTGATATACTGCCCTTCGATAACCTCCACAACGACAAGATCGATACAAGCTCTGAGTCTTTGAAGTTCAGCCAAGGTCTTGCGGGCGTCGATCAGACCACGAACTACATGTTCGTTAATATCCTCATTATAACTGCCCTGTTCCCGATCCTGATCGCTCTGTGCTTTCGTGTTTTTGTTGCAGCGAGAAACGATCGCCGACGAATCTCAGCGATCGCTTCATGTAGGGGTCAAGAACTTTGGGCAAGGGATCGTTATGTGTACTGGGGAGCACTCAAGCGGCGCTTTCTTTATGCGCCAGTCGGGCCTACGAAATGTCGACAACCAGCGAAAGGCTCTACAGCTGGTACGACATCAGCCCCCTTACCCACTCGCGTCCATTCTTTGGTAATTGTCGTCTATATCCTCAGCAACATGGCGTATTGCCTGGTCGTCTCCGTACGTTCACGTCCCCAGATGGTGGCCGAATTTCGCGGCCGGTGTGGAACTCTTGCGACATTCAATCTTATATTCGCTGTTCTCTTTGCTCTTCGGAACAACCCTTTGATAAACCTCCTCCATGTCAGCTACGATACTTTCAACCTTTTCCATCGATGGACGGCGCGACTTGTTGTGGTAGAGGCTACTGCTCATGCCGCTGCTTTCCTGTACAACACATATCGGGCAACCCATGATGGGAAGAGTGGCTGGCATAGCGTGGGTTGGCTTCTAAAACAATCGTTGTCGTATCAGTGCGGTCTTGCAGCTTTTGTTGCATTTTTGTTTCTCATTATTCATTCCATCGGCCCTATTAGACGCTCTTTTTACGAGACATTCCTCTCTTTACACCGCATCGGCCTCGCAGTCGCGGTATCCGGTGTGTACTTCCATTTGGCGAAGCATGCTTTGCCACAACTGCCCTGGGTGTATCTGGTTATCATTTTCCTATCACTAGAGCCCTCGATCCGCATCGTTCGCATACTACGTTACAACTTTTCATGGAAAGAGAAGAAGTGGACCCTTGTGGGCCTGGAAAGATTACCTGGTGAGGCAACGCGTGTCACCTTTACACTTCCCCACTCGTGGAACGCCAACCCTGGATCACACGTTCAGATCTACATGCCGAGAATAGCACTAATGGGGTCACACCCGTTCTCAGTGGCTTGGTCCCAATCGTCCGGAGACGCGAATGCTTTGGCGGAAAAGGCACCCTTCAGCATCGACGACCTTGACTCGGAAAGCGGGCCTAGCACCATTTCGTGTGTTATTCGCTCACGCCAAGGAATGACAAGTTCCCTTTACAAGCTGGCGGCGAGATACCAAGACGCTCAGGTGCACCTGTGGGGAGCGATCGAGGGGCCATATGGTGGCTATCATTCTCTCGACTCGTATGGCACTGTTGTCCTCTTTGCTGGAGGAGTAGGAATCACACACCAGCTGTCTTTCGTCCGACATTTACTGAACGCGCACAACAGCAACATTGCCGCTACACAGAAGATTTCCTTAGTCTGGTGCATAGCCAGCCTCGATGCGCTGGAATGGGTGCGGTCGTGGCTTGATGAAATCGCGGCTATACAGCACTTTCGCGAAGTTGTGAGCATACGGCTCTACATTTCCAGGATGGTCTCCTTCGAGTTTGAAGGTCGGTCTATACCGGCGTACCTCGAAGTGAGACTGCAACGGTGCGAGGTACAGAGTGTACTGGATGGCGAGGTACTTGCACAGATTGGTGCTATGGCGGTTTCAGTGTGTGGGCCAAGAGGCTTCAGTGACAGCGTTAGGGCAGCTGTCAGACGTAGGGTGAGCGTACGGAGCATTGACCTTTTTGAGGAGGCGTTCTCGTACTGACCGACACCTTCGGTGGGATGGTAATCTATCGCCATGGCAAATTCAACAAGGCACGTGTACTCGTAGACTATACTCGGCTCGTTTGCCCGAGTTGATCTAAACAAGGCACTACTACAGTACGACATCATTGCGACGCTTGTTGGTCCAAGTGCTCGTAGTAACGCCAGAGTGGCACCATACCCGGCCGGGCCTAAGGTAAGTGTGTACCGTCGGAATATGACGCCACATAAGGTGACAACCCCAAGCTGGTACGCCCGTAGTGTCTTTCCGAGAGTTCACCCATGGCTGACATGTCTCAGCTCGTCTTTCGGTTGGAAACTTGGCCACTAAAATCAGGAGTCTCTTCTAATACCGTACGTGAATGTTAAAGTGTACTCGCTCTCGTTTGACCAAACAAACTACACTATGACAGAATTTTTTAGAACGAACTTTCACTGCATTTCGTTTTGTCGCAAATCACTGAGAGACCCTAGCACAAAGCATGTGGTTTGATAAGCAGAAACGAAGTATATATCAACAACTCTGAACCTAACTGGCATCTGATTCGGAGCCTACTTAAAACCACAAAAAGAGGACTCTGTATGTATCGCACTCCTCTGAGTCGTTATAAACGCCTCTATTTCGGTGGAAATGTACTACGGAGCCTTTTTTCTAATGTTACGCAGCAAACGCTCTCGCCTCTCCAAACCGAAGACATTATAATGTAGTACATATATCCATCAACTTGGTGCTATTTTATATAGAGAACTGGAAGATCCGGTAGCGTACGTCATCTGCATGTCTACCCTGTCGTGCAGGGTGTGATCCAGTCACGTATTGTATCGGGTCGATAAAGGCGATCTATTTTTGCTCTAAGTTCGAATTGAGTCGCAGTCTTCTTTTTGAATCGCATAATTTTCTTTTTTGTTTGTCGGTCATTCACTCTTCTGTCTTTCGTTTTGATTGTATGTCACTAATCTCGCTCAGTGGTGATGGCCTATCACGGTTCAGGTTGCCATGAACTTCTATTCTTGTCTCGAACCCGTCTACGAAGCAATAACCCCCTCCGATTAGTGCTGAAGCGGTATGAGGATGCGAAGCGCTCTGCAACATGGTGGGAGTGCACGTCACTGCCCCAACTTTCCAGTGCTCCTTCCTCACCGTCATCAGTGCAACGTCATCTATAATCTCACCACTGACTCACTTGCCAACTCTCGCAAAAGTGCCAACTCTCCATGACCGGGCATTCCAATGCTGAAGGGACTGCTAGACTATCTTTTCCTATTACCAGTAGTAGAGTGGATTCTCTCTCACTTGCGCTTTACTACCAGCAACCACCTGAACTCCTCCCACAAATCTACGCCGAAACCAACGTCAATCCCGATTCTTACTTCAGCAAACAAACCGACCAATTTACTCATTCTCTCCTCTTCAAACCATTCAACCAATCTCCATACGATGTCGGACCCCAACGCGACCAGCAATGGCCACGGCACTACCCAAGAAGCGTCCTTCTACCACAATTCTGTTGAGCTCGCTGATCTTGGTATCAAGCGCTTCGACCAAGATACCGCCGCAATTGGCGACCGCGACTTTGCCCTGCACGCCAACCAACCAGTCATCACCCGCGCCGGCCGTGCGCCCCGTGGTCTCGAAAGCCAAGTTCATGCTTGGAACACGTTTCAGTACACCACTGATGAGGTAGACAGCCGCGAGGAGCTCAAGGGTGATTTACACGGCGGACAGCTGCATCGCGAGAATAGAGCTGCGGCAAATCCGCAGGGTATGGCGCCGATGGATTTTAGTGGTGGTAGGGGTAGAGGTTTTGAGAGGGGAGGTCGAGCTGGTGCTAGAGGTGGACGAGCGGGAGGCGCCGGACGAGGTGGCGTCAGGGATGTCGGGCAGATGGAGGGACTATGTGCGGGTAGGAAGCCGGATTTCGATGCGCCGCCAATGGCCAAGGGTATGGCGGAGGAGATGGACAAGAGTATGTTTTGGGATGAACCTATCGTTTGAGTGATGGCGGCAATGCATCGTGTCAAGCTCATTGAAGGGTATTAGCTACGTCCAGTAATCGTTCATGCTGTTCGCCGCTGAAAGCACACCTTTCAGGTCGACACTGGGGAGACGGGAAATTATTACAGGGAATGTAGGAGGTTCTCCGTAGTTCACTGTAGTCGAACAGAAGCAGACGCACGTTCTCAAACGTTCCCTTGGCTCGAACCAAATCACTGAAAGTTAGGCCATGATCTCTTCTTTTGTTATTAATACTTTCTCATCATACTGTCCGTCTATCATACGCTCTTCCTTAATCAGTCTCGCTCGAAAAGCTGCGAGAAACCACCTGCCTCATCTCTCTCCATCCCCTTCTTTCAACTCATATACGTGATAACTTAGCTAACTGTTGAGACATTAACGAGTAAACATATAGATCTAGTTAGTCAACTTACGTCTAGTTCTTCCCGATAATCGCTGGCGGCTTATCGACAAACACAAATTGATCCAGGCTGCAAGTTGGTACTAGAAGCAATGCAGCGGCCAGGGCAATTTGCTACACAATAGCTGGTGGCATGAACTGTGCCGCAAGCGACACCTGACAGAACCCCACCACCAGGTAGAGCAGTAGTAAGGGCGATGAGCAGGAGGAAAGGCACGAGGATGAGGGCCTGTGAATGCATCGTTGGTTGAGACGTATGTTCTTGTAAGCTATTGTTCGGCGAGACAGATGAAAGAGCAGAGAAAGACCGAACAAGATTGAGGATATGAATTCTACCACAATGCAGGCGCGTTCAAAAGTTGATCTAGGCAAGCAGTATTTGAGCTGATGATTCCAACCAGTACCGTGCAATGGGAGACGCATGCCATACTCAGACCATCCTATATTGCATTCCCAATCCAGAAACTTTCCGTTCACACTCAACATCAACACGTTCTCCTCCACCTCCCTTGTGATATTCTTCTGATTGGCCTGCACAGATTTAAGATGAGTGAGACTTTGCAATTTGAGTGGCAATTGACTCACCGCTTATGCGCCTCCCCCTCCTCCTCCTTGCTGCCAGGGACAGTCGCACCACACATAGCCAGTTGCCTGCTTGCAGGTTCCAGGGCAGCCTTGTACACAAGTGTTCCACGGGGCGACAGCACCGCATTCCACAACGACAGAAGGAGTGGCAGCAGCGAACGCGGTCGTGATGAGGCCTAGGGTGGCGAGCATCATGGTTGCAAAACGGGCGTGCATGTTGGGCTAGAATGAGGTAAAGCTGAATGAGGCTTGCAGATATGTAGGATACCTCGGAGGATAATACAAGAAGAGTTGGGACGAAGAGGTAGTTACAGGGAAGGAAATTGGTTCTTTATGTTTGAGAAGTCGGACAATACGAAGCAAGGAGTCCATCCCTTGCGACGGCAGAAACGGGCTGATATTGAGGCACAGTCACTTGGGCGGCGTAGTACGTCCATTGGAGATGAGATCTACAAAGGGCAGAACATTGACATACGTAACTTGAATGCTTTTGGATTATTTGAATGTAACAGTGGCATGAAAGTCCTGACCTGGGTGGTTGGAATCACCAGCGCCAAGGATAAGCTGACACATGCTGATGTGACAATACCACAATTTTCGCATGTACCACTCAGACGGGAGATTTCCAAACTCGGTGAAAAAGATTCGCTCCCTTGCTGAACCTGGAGTGAAGTGATGGCAGCGGGTATGTAAAACGTGACGGCTGACGCATGGCGCTACTGTATACCAGTAAGAAATTCAGGAAATGCGGAGACGACATGCCCGCCCCCTGAGGCTAGAACAACATCGATGACGCTCAAGTCTTCTTGAAATGTCGGTGTATGAGCCCACACAAGCTCTCCCACAACACCTGATCCGTGCCTCTTAACCACTCAACGACGACCTCACGTGCCAAGTCCACGACCCGAATACGAAATGCTAGCTCAATCTTTCGATCTTGCTTCATGTCAACGAGACCTTCTCTTTGATTACGTTCGTATGCGCGGCGATATGAGCGACTCCACACGTTTTGACTAGCTTCGCCGATGCCAGTCGAAGTAACAGCGTCCCACGTCCAGGTTAGATCGAGCGATGAAAGCTGGGTGTTGATAGCGTCTTTGGCTGTCTGCGGCTCGACTGAAGGTGGTAGTGCGATGGGATAAGATGTTGGGAACGGTAGGAACTCATTGGCCATCTTTTCGATTCGTGCGTGGCTCTGAATGCGGTTAGCATATTCCACTGGTAGCTCAAACGTGTTAGATAGCACCTACATTTCGTGGCCTGAGGTCTCCGAAGCTCCACGCGACAATCCATCGCTTGGTGCTGGACCCAACATCGATATCACCAACCGCCCAATTTGTGATGCCGTGCTTCTTCAAGAGGTTGATGATGGCCTTTGCGCTTTCCATTTTGCCGAACATACTAGTATACCACTGCACCTTTTCCCTGAGGACAAGACTCTCGTTGACAATCTTCGTCACGAAGCCAAGATCACCACCGAGACATACCATTTCGTTCTCTGAGCCTGTACATACGGCGTTGGGCTTCCAGCTCTTTCCCTCACCCTTCAAGCTGGACTGCATATCGGACACATCGTTAAAGAAGGGTGGGTTGCAGATGGTAAAATCGAGACGATCAACCCCGAGGGCTGCGAGAGGGACAAGAGGGTTTAGCTCCGTGGTTTGGAGCAACTTGGTACGCGTCATAAGATTGTTGAGAGCAAGGTTGCGGGCTGCGGAGTCAAAGCTCTTCTTGTCGATATCTGTAGCGCACATTGACCAGTTTGGACGCGATCTTAGGCACAGCAAGGTATATATGGCGGATGCTCCAGTACCGATATCCAAGCCCTGAACCTGGCGATTTGGATCATATCTGCTGGAGTAGTCTGGCGATGTGGAGTCGATTAGACCTTGCAGCCAGGCCACATAGTTCCAGCGATTGGGGATTGGTGGACACAGGCGATCATCTGGCACGTCAAGTTCAAGACCGAAGTCTACTCTTAGAATCGCTTTGGAGAGGGCCTGGGTAGTACTGGGATCTTGGAAATCTAGTTTACCCGACGTGCGCTGCCATAGTTGTTTGAAGTCTTTATCGCTCTTCGCGAGGGCCTTGAAGTCGACGGTGACGTATGGCGGGCGCTGTGCGAGGTTCATGCCGTCTTCTGACATGACTACTAAATTGACTGGGGTGTCATGAATTGTCGTGCCGTGTTCTGGTGATGGAAACAGTGGACCCGCAAATAAGTGCAAAGCTGACGCTCGGGCCAGTCTACCTAACTATAGGGCCTTCTATAACTAAGCGCTCTATACCTATAATATAGTTATATATAATAATTTCCTGTATATTAAAGATAGTAATAATAAGTATAACGATAGAGCTTTATATATTAGAGTATAGAAGTTAAAAGAAGAATATTGAAGTCTATATTTAGATATTTTCTAAAGTTTAAATTCTATAGTTTAAAACTTTAGTTACCTACTATTAACTATAGTTACTTTTACTAAAACTATACTTTTTTTCTAATATTAAGCTTTATGTTACACGGGGTTAGGCTATACTTCTCTAGGCTCGGTCCGTACTAAGGCGAGGTAGACTAAAGCGGTAGTCCGTGAGGTATCGTATGGAATGATCAGGTGGAAAAGAGTTATCGTTGTAACCAA